GTGCTACGTCTCTAACTACAGGATCTATCTACATGATCTCCTCTCTCTTTTTGAAACATGTATGAACAAATTTACATAGCTTTTCATTTACATCGTAGTGCTTGGATGTCATAATATATTTGAACAGTTCTGCTTTTGACAAGTATGTATATTTCTTCTCTAACTCTAAGGAATTGATAAAGGATTTCCGCATATCAGTGTATAACGGGCATTCTAAGACAAAGTGTTCTTCATCCTCTACACAGTTACTGTTACATAGAGTGCAAATTCTGTTACTTGCTGGAGTCTGGTTATACCTACCAATTTCGATCTGTAATTGGTGATCACTAATCCTTAATTTTGTCAATGCTCGACGATGACTAAACTTTTGCACATCTAAATATTGTTCTTTTTCATATGTAAGCTTAATTGTTTTGTAAGTTCTTAACTTATTTCCTTGTCTTCCATTTTTGCTATATTTGGAGTTTATTTCTGAGTAGAAATATTGCAGAAAATTGTCTTTTAGTCTTTGTTTTAGTTCAGATTGAGCAGATGGTGTGTTTCTGTCTTTTTGGAGTAAAAGGTAGGCAAAACCTGACTCCTCGAGTATTCTACTTATATTTGACAACCAGCAAGGTATTTTGTTGATAGAAAAATTGAAACACAGCGTCTTTATATGTGTTTCCTTTTTTCAATGAGAAAACTTAACGATAGATTTATCAAAGGTAACGGCTGTATCCTACTCTAAATGGTTGTTAATTGTGTGGATCATACCGCCTGGCGGCAAGGCTCGACGGGATACCAAATGGAGCTATATCTGATGTGGCGAGAAATTCAGTCCGAAATGGAAAATCATCCGCCCGTTGGAGCTATAATATCCGTTCCTTTTTCAACACATCTCGGTGGATATGAGTTGCTAAAACTAGCGCTAGTATTCCTGGGAGATTGTTTTCGTCTGCCAGTAAAAGCTACCGTTAACATCCACCAGAGAAGGATAACTTTAAAGGGGCAGTATGTAACATTTTTGCACCAAAATTTGAAATATTGTATGAAGGAAATATTAGGGTGATCTTGATTTACTTCTACTTTTCAATATATTTGTGAGATTATCTCACATTTATGACGTTCATGGTTGGAGCTAAAACAGCCCACACCAGGTGCACTCAGTTTGTGGTGCCACCACAAACTACCAGAATGTAAACAAACATGGCTGTGTTTCAAGTTCGTAATTTGGCACCTCCACTTCTTGAATGGCACTTGGAGGAGGAGGAGGGTGGTTGATTCAGCTTACTTTGTCAAGAAATGACCAGAAAACCTACGTCTTGTATCATCCTCATCTTGAGGTTATATAATGCAGCTTTAAAGTCTGAGCAATGATGAGCATTAATATTTCAGACTCACCGTTCAACTACGAAATAGCATCACGTACTGAAAGGCTGTCCACTTCTCTGGCCACTTTCATTGGCCAGAGAATGACGTCATTGACAAACCGTCCCGTCACTGATTTTTAGAGAAGAATCGATGGAATATATGCCGAACAAAGGAGGCCAAATGAAGTCATGCACTTGTCACTTGAGTAATTGAAGAAATGATTCATGATTCACGGTTCATTTCTCAAGTACATTTGTATTTCTGTATGCATTCGTTAGCGTTATGAAGAGAGGACCAAAATATGGCCTATATTTGAGAGCAAATGCAAAATGTTTCATTCACGGCTTTTCCAAACGTAGTCTGATCACAATCCAAATGCGAAGAGGTAGACATCCAATAAATAATAAATCACAAAGAGGAGGTAATATAGAATGTTTCACACTTTTCTAGACTGTAACAAAGAAAGGTCTGCGAAGATCACATTAATGTCGACTGAAATGGATGGAATGATTCAGTGCCATATCAAGTGTTATGTACATGAGAAGTTGTGGCGTGTCTAAAACGATAATGTGAGAAGTGTGCGGGGTGTAGGCGTGGCAGACGCAGTGTCTGTGCGGGAATGGGTTGTGAGATGAAGTGCGGGAGGTGATATGACCTCCCCTGTTCCCGTCCAACCGACTTGTCAATCACATCCCACACCCGCCGCACTGATCGATATTCAATTTGAAATGTAACGTTCTTCACTTTGAATTTTAGCCTCTAAGTTGTGAACTGAATAAATACTGTATACGATAATGTATTTCGTGTTTTTGATAGCTGAATCGCGTTGGTACTAGGATATTGGCCAAGAATATAAGCTGTACTAGAAAATGTCATCAATACTGGATAACCAGGCAGATGGCGCTCACGCTCAATCAATCTGGTATAAAAATTTCATGCCGTACTTGCCGGACTGGTGAGATAGAAAATAGTTTTGCCACAGCTGTGCACTTGGGCTGAAATACGTACATGTTGTAACCACGCCCGTCTCCTGGGTTTTTGTAGTATAATCCAAGAGAACACTTCAATGGCGCCATATCTTTCAAAGTAATTACATTGGAATGAAAGCATTATATAGATTATACGTCATGACGAAATATATTGTGGAATAAACTTCCAAAGATGAAAGAATTTGGTATTCCAAATGACGTGGGAGTATGTCTTGTAATTGAGTTATTGTTGCGCTAATTTCAGCAAATTCTGGGCTGGTTTCGATGCAATTTCGATGGGCTTAGAACGACGTGGAATATAATGGAGAGTGTAGTATGAAAAGTTGCGGTGAGGTTTAACTTTCCCTCGTGGGGATGAATTTGTAATTTGATTCATCAAAATGAAGTAAGGGTCCAATAACGTACACAAAGCCCGGGGCCTGGGGCGCTCGTTATTTCTGCAGGGCGCTATTTACAGGCAGACATCTGGCGGAATGAGAGAAACTCGGGTATATTCAGGGGAGTATCTGGGTCGGCAGCCAGCTGAAATTACTGCTGAAGTCAGCGGGTCATGTACAACAGCTCTGCCTGGAGATGCAGAAAATTGAAGGAACGTTAGTGAGTGTGTGAGTTAGGCCATGTTGAGTTGATTATATGGATGACATCCTCTGGGTACCACAAACTTGATGCGGGCGTGCGACTACTTGGCAAAAAGAAGTTGGTTTCATTAGGAAATATACGTGGTCATGAAGGCGTGAATCAACATACAGAGTATGATTTGGCGAATAATATGCACTTCATTTTCATTTCTTCACATGCCTTCTTTTCGTTTAGAATTGACTTTGGCATTCTACGACATAAGCATCTTTTTACAATATTTTTTGTTTGCCATTTAAGGCATATATTTGCTCATTTTGCAGCTGCTTTGTAAGGTTTACATTACAGCCAACATTTGTTTTTGGAAACACGAAAATTCATGCGCGCGCGGGTGTTATCTATATACTAGTAATCAACATGGTCTTTACGTGGAAAAGGCCAGTCAACTCCGAGAACCGGACTGTATAATGACAGGCTGCGCTCCAGATTTCTAAACCAATAGCGAACTTTAAAAGCGACTCTTAGAAAAGTAATAATCTAGCTAAGATGCTCCTACTGTAATAGCCTTATCGCTAAGCCACGCGGGGAACACCCTTAAGGCAAGCTAGTCACGACACAGATACGGCAGCCTACAGGCAATATCTGTGAAATGACAGAGAAAGTTTTGATACACTAAGTTACACCTGCGCTAGTAATCACGGCTCAAAGTGACATACAGGGTTCCTATACCTTATTACTTCCCATAATAACACCAAGGGGTGCGTATCCGCAATGAAAGGCATTTTGAGATGGTAAAAGCCTGCGCGGCTCTGATAGACTTAAAGTACTGCCTTCTCTGTAAACCTTAATATATAGGTGCTCCGCGGTGTAGCGGTATGCTCATACGTCACACTTAGATAGGGATCGTTATGACGTCACGTGCTGTGGAATTGATGCGTCATACTGCGCAGCCGAATGTAAGGACAACTCTTATCTGAAATGTCTGGTACCTCAAAGGGTCTTAAACGGCTGTATCGTGGCGTGGCAGACAGCTGTCTAGCTGTGGCGCGGCGAACTGAAAGACACTCATTGTGTCTCGACACTTCGCTCGTCTGTGGATCCTAAATCTTACTAACTCTTGAAAAGCTACAGATAGAAGACACTTCATACACCACCCATTATGTGGATACTAGTGACTTATTAGCGGCTCACTGCATCAGCTTGACTATACAACGAGTTTTTAAACACTTCATTCCATTTCAGAGAACATTCTTGAAATCCCTCATAGATATGATGAGGTGATTTCTGGATCGATCCTTGGGAGATAGAGTTCCCTCGAGTTACTATTAATCAGATTTTTGATGTTAGCTTCCAATGCCAAGGACGGCTCTTCATGGGAGTTCGTGGTTGGATGGCTGACGAGATCGTGAGCCTGGGATTACACAGTCAACTTCACTTTGAAGTAGAACCTAGGAATAGAGGGACTTTGTAAGGTCAAGTAGTTAATATCATAGTGGCTACAAAACACACACGAGGCTGAGATATACTTGCAAGACTAATTTGGACAAGAACCCAGAGGGATGTTTCAAGTTCAAGGCGCTTCAGTGAGTGAAGATAACATGAGCCTGAAATTACACCGACGTCAGCACAACTATCATCAAAATGCAGGCCTGGAAGTTTAGAGTCTGGATGGTTCCAGTGGGTGTGCAGTGGCGGGTTTATGAGCAGAATATTCCAGATGCTGTAAGTTTAGTGAGTTTGGGATGGTTCCTGAGGGCATAAATGAACACATTCATGATCCTGAGATTTCCATGGAACACTAATGAGACCGAGAATACACAATCCTCGGGGTATGGAAAACCAAGGCCGCGCCTGATTACGCTGTAAACTAAACAAGCTCAGCAACCTTGATGGTATAGATTTACCTAAACTCCGTGCAGAATGGTCTTCAGTGTAATCAGTGGCAGTGAATAAACGTGAGGAACAGCTTGTATCTAACAAGGCTTCATCATATAGTGTGTTAATCTTATTGACTGGAGAGGCTGAAATGTGTTTCTCACATGTCTCAGCACGTTTGTACAGCCAACAATGAGTAAACGAGAAAAAAGAAATTTGTCATCACATCTAATTTATTTCAGGGTCACTTCTGAGAATTACTTTATTAGGATGCTCTAACTCTAGGTAATTTTGGGGATCTATATGTTGCTGAACCAATACCATATACTGTATAAGATGCACTAGAGTACAAGGAATAGAACATGCAGTCTTATCTGCCATAGATGATGTTCAGTTGTGTGTGAGGAAAACATTATGTACATTGTATGTGTTGACAGTAAACGATAACAAAACAAACAATTAGACATAAAATAAACAAAAACATCATGAATTTTAACAAGACAAAATTTCAGATGTTTCAGTTAAAAGCAGGTTTTAGTGCATCCTAAGACAGATTAATTTCATGCATGCCATACTCATGTATAACATACACACACAGAGATACATAGTCTAGGTTAAAATACTACCTGTCTTTGTACATGAAATACTACTCATTTACATGTTCTACTAGAAACTCTTTCAGAATAGCTAAATACAACTAAAAGTAAAAACACTCTATAATGATCAGCTTTATCAAAGAGGCACTGAATGGGCTCCTAGTCTTGTTCAGTCTTCTTCCATGGGCTGATTTTTCTCCCAAACTTGAACAATTCTGGAGTGATAGTGATCCAGCTGAAAAAAAAATAAAGAGAGTAATGATAAGACATACAATACACATATCACATTCTTCAACACATATTCTCTGAATTACTAACCATAATTTTCAACCAGTAATTCGGTCGAAAACTTTGAGAGAACAGTTTAAGTTGCTCATAATGTATTTTACCAACTTGAAGATGAACTTTCATGGTAATGCATTAGATACTCACAGAGTTGAGAAGCTCCTTGTATCTTTCTGTCAGGGTGTCCATCACACCCTGGTGGTTTTCATCTTTCTCTGCAAGCTGAAATCATTCAGAACATACAGGATGTTATCATGATTGTATGTAATGTATGCCATGTATGTCACAAGATAAAGATTTAGTAGTAAACGTGTTAGTACACATACTAGTTAAGTTTTACTAGTACATGTATATAAAAGTGTGTGTGTCTACAATATTAGGCAATTGTAACTTTTTTCAAACTCTACATGAAATGTACTTTGTTTTAGCTTGGTACATGTAATGTTACATACATGTACATAAATTCATAATGGTTATAAAATGATAAAGAACCTGCCATACATGTACATGTATGCAATGTCACTTATGCTACTGTATCTACAACAACTTTGATCTTCAAACAGTTGCAGAAGAGAGATTGTAAACTTTATCCAAGACAACAGGTGGGTCTCGGTCTATTGTGAATTTGTGGTACATCAGCTCCATTATCAGATAAAGGTACTTCTATTTTAGCAGCAGAATTGTATGTCACCACTTGCTAATGCTAACACCTGAAAAATTGGTATACTCTTCCATTTGTGACACCTGCGATGTGATCAGGTGCTTTTAAAGTAAAAGTTAAAGTCTTCCCCGAAACCATTGGCATGGTCACATATGGTGGCATCCATCTCCGTCTTTGTAGCCCTTGGCATACCTACATTTGTATAAAAATTACAAGCCCAACCACTCAGAAGACACAGGAGGCAAAACATGTTGAGGACTGGGCTTGGGTAAAGTTTCCTAATGTGAATGTGCGGCTCCGGCATCTTTTCTAAGGATGAAAGTGTCAAGTGTGTGGTTGTCATGAGTTCTGTCCATTCCACTGCCCAGATGTACACACCTGTTTTTCCAACTGGCCCTTCTGCATCTCAATTTCCATGATGTTCCTCTCCAGTTCCTGCATACAGGGCTGGTACATCTCCTGTTCCCTGGGGAGTGAATGGAAAATGTTATAGTGATGATACTGTTTATATAAAGAAGGATGATTAATTACATGGCATAAAGTGCAAATAAGATTTCACAATGAAGGCAATCATGTTCAAATTTCATTTTCTTTGCACGCTCACATCAGTTTTGGGAATCACCCAGAGGATGTCATCCATATACAGCACAAATGTAATCAAATCAGTATAACCTTACTATGGTATGACTATGAAAAGAAATAGGATTATGTTTTACAACTACAACTCTTGGCAGGACCCACTGCAGAAAAGTCTGTGCACATGTAGAAAGAGGATGATTAACTGATGTGTAGGAAAGTTGTGGAGTCTGATCTCACTTCCTGGTGACTGCAGACGTCTCCCTGGCTGCGGAGAGTTTGTTCTGGTGCTGCAGGCTGAACTTGGCCAGTTTCTCCTGTTTGGAGCCGAGCTGACGCTTCAGCTGGCTCTCCCGTGTCGTCACATCCCGCAGTACCTCCTTCTGACCAACCACCTGGTCTCGCATCTTCATCAGCGCTCCATTTGCTTTCCTGTGGGTGGGGCCCGGTTAACGTTACACATGTTTTTTCTAGGGTCAGTCGGGAAACAGGAAACACAGGCCTTACAGATACAGGGTTCTCACACAGAATATGCTCCCAAAAATTCAGTCACTATATAGAAATTTTTCATAGGGGCACCCAGTGCTCCCATCAAAACTTGCACTATAATAAAAAAGTTAACAGTCATATCATGAATTCAATGTACATTTGCTTTCTTGCTCTCTGATTATGATACTTCCACTCTGCATGTTTCTACTTACAAAAAAAAGCAGTATTTGTGTGATGTTCTGCAAATTATCAAAATGAATGTAATTTTTTTGTATTGTTGTAACAAGATGTTCCAGAGTTACTTTGTGATAGCTGTTATTGTTTAGTAGGCTTTAGTTTATGGTTGACCTTAAGTTGCTCTACCTTCTGTTATGTCAATGCCTATTTGTACCCTTTACTGTCTACAGTACGAAAAAAGGTCAGAGGTCGTCGGCACGACCGGACGGCATTTTCCGTAGCTCCTGACTTTACAGTATAAAACTGCCTATTTGCTTTATTTTACGCTACATCCTGAAGCATCCTTGTGAGTATAGTTACTTAAGACTGTAGAGTCAACTTTGCTGACTGAAGTAAGAAGACTCCGGACCAACTTGGAGAACTTTGGGGGCTGTGAAGCTGCGAAGTGTGACAAGACCCAAGCCGAGTGACGCCATAGAGAAAACGGATCGGCTCTCAAGCGGAATCACCGCATCGGGCTCCTGTTTAAGGAGCCCTTGCGGGTAAGTTTCAATCCTTTCTGAGGACAGATAATCCTACAGAATATTTGGTGATTGACACGCCAAAGATATTTCGATACTGGAATCAGAAGGACTGTAAATGTGCTGTATGTTTCGTTGCTGGCGCCCTCCCCTTTGTTTTACAGTTGGCGGGAAAATCTGACTGAGCTAATCAGCGTTGGCGGGAAAATCTGACTGGGCGAATTATCTTTTCCTGGACTCAACCCGGCTCATCATATCCTGAATTTGGCCCAAAAGCAGCAAACGAGCTGTTATCCACACAGCGGTAGTGTACACGAACATATTGGTGAGCCCGTTCCAACTTATCTGCGCTACTCTTGACGTGGATGTAACAATGTGGCGGCAAGTTGAAATATGTGGGTACAGCAGGGAAGTGGCCATCGCGCTACTTCCTAAACTGAAAACAACAGAACTCAGGTTAGAACTGGGAAGAAGGGGAAAGAAGGATGATTTAAAGAAAAGTAAGGTTGAGATGGCGGAAAACTTATGCAAACTAATGGAGAAAGAATATGACGACTTGGAAACATTAAAAGAAACTTGGGCAGAAGAACAAGCGGAAGAAGTAGAACATGAGCAATTGAATGACAGAGATCAAGTAGAAGAAGAAATCGAACACGAAGAAATGCTAGAAAGGTTGCGGAATCTCAGGGATAGTGTTAGTACCCAGCCACAACTTGCTTGCTGCCAAATGTGTGATAAGGCAATAACATTAGAAGAAAGCAAACAGTGTGTATGTGTAGCCTGCTTTGGCTCTAAAGCCTCAGCACAAACTCCACAAACCTCAGAGGAAACAGTTAAGATAGAACTAAAGAAAATAGCAGACACTTTGACCTCAATACAAGACAGTCTACACGGCAGTGCACATGTGCAAGCTTTAGGTTGCGAAGTACCTGAGTTGGAAAAATTGAGGGAGGAAATGAATCACTAAGGGAAGCAATTCGCATCCTCACAGCAGAAGGTAGACAGTCTTGCACACCTAAGCCCACAGACAACCCTAGGACAAATAGAGAGACAGAGCAGGTTGGTAACAGTTCATGGGCCCGCGTAGTCAAAGGCCCTCCCAGAAATAGACAACATCACACACCTTACAATGTACAGCAAAGTAATAGATATCAATCGCTGGTAGATCTGTTTGACAATGAAGCAGAGACTGTTAGCAACTTCGAGGAGAATATGTGGGGCTATGCCCAGCCTCCGAGAAGAGTTAGAGAAACAAAGACAAGTCGATCAGGTACAGACAAAAATGCTACATGGCAGTCCTACAAGCAGCAAGGTAACAATTTGAGACCTACTAGCGTGACAGAACTTAGCAGTAATGATTGTAGCTCTCAGCCCGAACAGCGATTAAGCCAACAACATACGCTGAAACCCCATCTTGGCTGACTCAATGACTAAAGGTCTAAATCCAAGACGTATGTCCAGAAATACTGGAAAAACAGTGGTATGTAGAACACACAGGGGAGCTAGAATAGAACAGATGGAGAAATGGGCTATGTCTGACTTACGCGAGGTCCAACCATATATGGTAATCGTACATGTCGGTACTAATAACCTACATGAAGATATCCCTACAATCATGGAGAAGTTCGAGACACTAGGTAATAATATATATGATCAGTTTGCACATATATGTTTCTCTAGTCTAGTGGTCAGAACTGGCGCTAGCGCCAAGATAGATAAAAGTAAACCAACTT